GGCCAGCGCAGGGCTGGGCTCCTGGACCAGGGGTCCCGCGTCGCACCCCGGCGGGAAGACCGGGCCCCCCAGCTCTCTGCAGCCCAGACTCTGCGGGAAGATCTCCCGGTGACATTGAAGACAGTTTGGGAAAAACAAAACCAAACCCCAGAATCTTCTGATGATGGAATGTTTCAAACATACAAAAATAGGCTAAATAGCCCAGTGCTTCTCACACTGGACTGTGAACACGAATCCCCTGGGAATTTTATTTTATTAAAAGACAGTTTCTGACTCAGACGGTCTGGGGCGGAGCCAAGATTCTGCGTTTCCAACCGGCTCCAGGCCCAGAGGGTCTCTGGGCCGCACTGATGGTGAGAGTCCATGACCCAAATCCTCGGCTGCAACAACTACATCCACTCCTTGTCACTTTCATTCCGTCTACATCCCTCCTCCCTCATTATTTTGAAACAAAACCAGGTGTCATCATTTCAGCCATAAATATTTTTGTGTTTCTAAAAGATAAGGATTATTTTAAAAACATACCACAAGATCATTTTTACACCTAAAATGAATAACAGAAATTCTGTGATCAGCAGCTATCCAGTCCAGGTTGAAATGTTGTTTTGAACAGTTTTTGCGAGCCTCCTAATGGCCCAGGGCCTCCGCCACCTGTGTCTGGTGGCTTGTGCAGCATGGAGAGAATTCTGTGCTCAAATTAAATCACAGAGGCCTACCCAGCCGGCGTGGCTCAGTGGTTGAACATCAACCTATGAACCAGGAGGTCACAGTGCCATTCCCTGTCAGGGCACGTGCCTGGGTTTCAGGCTTGATCCCCAGTGTGGGGCATGCAGGAAGCAGCCGATTAATGATTCTCTCTCATCACTGATGTTTCTATCTCTCTCTCCCTCCCCCTCCCTTCCTCTCTTAAATAAATAGAAATATACAGTGGGGCCTTGACTTATGAGTGTCCCAACTAACGAGTTTTTTGAGATACCCGCTGTCTCTCGGCTGATTTTTTGCATTGAGTTGATAGAGTAATTTGATCGTTAAGGAGCTCGGTCTCGGAACCAATTAAACTCGTAAGTCAAGGCCCCACTGTATTTAAAAAAGAATCACAGAGCCTCCCAGGAACAGGGGAGGGGGCAGAGGATGGCTATAAGAAGTCCGGATGCCCAGCCTGACTTGTCCAAACCCTGGCGGGCCTGGAAATGGGGCTGAGGAAGGGGTGGGGACCACTTTGTCAAATAGAGAGAAGGTGGCTTGAGGGAGGAAAGGGACCTGCCCTTGGCCTTCAGGAAGCTGGGGGCCTCCCTAAGGAGGCCTCACACCTGGTGCCACAGCCTCGCCCACGAAGCCTCACAGCACCACCGTCCAGAAGACCATTGTGGGGGAGGGGCGCAGGGGTCCCACAGAAATACCCAACAGGCAGTGCAGGCAGGGAATCAGTCTTGTTTATATCTGGCACACAGTAGCATATAAAAAACATGGAGAATGAATGGAAGAGTCAGCCCATTAGAAGTTAAAAAATATTTATGTAATGAACACTAGTGTTTGCCATTTGCCAGTCATCATTCCAAGTGTTTTACATACACAACTCCCTCAATCCTGGTGAGAGGCCTGTGAGTCAGTACTGTTGTTATCCTCATTTTACAGGTGAGGAACCTGATGAACAGAGAGGTTAAGTAACTTGCTGAAGGTCACACAGCTGGTTGACTAAGCTGGCACATCCCAGCTTTAGCATCCAGGCTCTGGGCCCCGGGGCTGTGCTGTGTCTCTGGGTTGAGAGGCCTTGCCCCTCGAAGGAAGTGGCCGGTGTCTGAAGTCATCTGCCCTCGCACATCATGAGGACATCTCTGCTGCTCAAACAGGCATGTCTCCCTCAGCACGTGCTGTCCCGGTGTCTGACATTCCCCACCCCCTCCCTGTCCCGTCCCTAACTCTGGCCCTGAGACCCTGTGGGAGGAAAAGGGAAGGCGCTGGGTGCCTGGGAGGACGGGAGAGGCTCAGACCTTTGGGGTGGAAGGAACCCCAATTCTCAGGTTGGAACAGACAGGGCGCAGACAGGAGGAGAACTGTCCGGAGACTTGGTTTCCTTCTGGGCTGAGGATCCCGGTCTCCAGGGTGGGGACGAGCCTGAGCCTCGCTGCTGTGTCTTGCAAACCTGAGTGGCAGAGGCCACCCCAGAAGGTGAGGAATACCAGGGAAGTGCTCATTGCCCAAGTGGGTGCAATCCTGCGAGGGCACAGCGGCCACTGGGCTGCGGCTGGAGCCTCTTAGGCAATGGCCAGGAAGTGACTCAGGCGCAGGCGCTGACACTGACCCCCACCCGGGCCTCCGCTGGGCCGAGTTTACTCCGCAGCCAGAGCCTTGGAGAGAGAGATCC